CTCTTTCCATTTCTCGGAAACTACTCTTCAAATCATTTGAATCTCTCTCGGTCTCATCCATTTTCCGTCACTGGAAAACCGCTCATCTCCGCTGTAAAACCACCAGTCTCTCTGTCTTCTCCGATCGCTTCAAATATGAGCACCGGCGAGCTTCTCAGCATCGAACCCCAAGAGCTCCAATTCCCTTGTAAGCTTTCTCCAAACTTAACTCTCTTAAACTGTTTCTCTTTTGCTTTCAGATCCGGGGTTTTTTGTTTTCTCTGTTTTCTCTGTTTTCACTGTTTCTGATTTTTCCTTTTATCTTTTTCTTTGGTTTTGATTCTTTTGATTTGAGCAAACAGTTGAATTGAGGAAGCAGATCTCTTGCTCTCTACTTCTCTCCAATAAGACCGATAGCTATATAGCTTTCAAGGTAGTCAATTTCACTCTTTTTTTCTTTCTTCAGCAGACCATTTGAATTGTGGGTTTGTTCAATTTTGCCTGTTAGAGATTTGTAATCTTGATTTTGGTCTTATTGGTTGGTGTTTTAGGTAAAGACAACAAATCCCAAAAAGTATTGTGTTAGACCCAACACTGGGGTTGTGTCCCCAAGGTCTACATGTGATGTTATAGGTACACACACTATATTTCATGCCAAATTGGTTTCGCTTTATGGTTAGTTCTGTGCTTAATTTTGATATCCCTATGTGCTAACATGTTAAATTTATATGTGGGTTTAGTAACAATGCAAGCACAAAAGGAAGCACCTTCGGATATGCAATGCAAGGACAAGTTCCTTCTTCAGAGCGTAGTTGCTGGCCCCGGGGCTACCCCGAAGGATATCACTCCAGAGATGGTAGTCACATGACTTCTAAGTGGTTTTGTGTATGAGTTTAATTGTTTACTTAGCAAGATGTGTGTGCAACTGGATTTTTGTGTTTGTTCATTTCAGTTCAGTAAGGAGTCGGGGCATAATGTTGAAGAGTGTAAGTTGAGGGTTCTCTATGTTGCTCCGCCTCGGCCACCATCTCCGGTTCATGAAGGTTCAGAGGAAGGTTCGTCACCCAGGGCTTCAGTGGACAACGGGAGTGCAATTGCTTCTGAGTTTAAAGCTGTGAGTACTTCTTGATAGATCGTAAAAGAAAGAAAACAATTTATGTTTCCCTTTAACTGTAATAGAATATGTTGTCTATGTAATTTTGGTTTCAGGCTTCAAGAGCTTTTGCCGAGCAACATGAGCCTCAAGATAACTCATCCGAGGTATATTTTTATTTTAAACTATGTGGAATATTAAGTCTTGAACTTTGCAGGTTGTATGGTTGTCACTTGAAGTTTGTTTGGAGGAAATTATAATTTTTAATAAATGTTGGTTGTTTTTGCATGATTTATAGTTGCATTTGTTTTATTTAGTACAATTCAACTAATAAAATGCTTCACTTAGTAGACATGGATTAAGCGTAGTGAGCCCGCCCCCTTGCACCCAAGTTCGAATCCCCCTCCCTGTAGATGGATTAAATTAGAGTAGTTTAGACTATTGGTTTTATTTAAAATAAAATAAAAATAAAATGCTTCACTCCATAAATTCATTAGCCAAGACTAAATTTCAAACTTATAACCCTATCCAAGTGTGCTACCTTTCATGTTAACCATCCATAAGAACTTGAGCTATTCTTGGAACTCCCAATTTCAGAATTTAAACTGCCTTTGATCATCATGGAAAAGCATTTTAATGACCTGGCAGACCTGAGGGCGTGTGCTTTATGTTTCCAATTGGGGACTCTAGGCTGTGCTTACTTGAGTGTCTAAGATCAAGGTTAGTTGTATCTTTTGAAGTTGTTGTTCGGATATTTTGGGCTATAGCAACAGAGAGAACTGCCTTGCTTGCCTTCCTTAGATTCTGTTGTTCATAAAGGCACTATTTCGAAGTTACCATTCTTCAATTATGAGTCCCTCCCTCAGTTCAGATTTTTGTGGAGCATGGGACTCCAGTATAGTTTGTAAGCCCTGTATTTGTGTAGTTTGAGAAATTTCACTTTTGAAAATGTCCTTTTGACAATACTGTATAGTGAGCTTAAGCATCATTTCAACTGGATTATCCACTTCAAGTTTGTCATTTAGAGTCACTGCTGGTGACCATGCTGAATTTTCGTTGCCAATTATATCCTTGTTTATCCTTCTTCCAAGCATTGACATGGTGTACTTTTTAATGGTGGAGGATGTTTCTTATCATTGAATGAACTTGTGGGGTTGCTGCAATATTGATGGTGGTACATGGTAATTAATTTATTGAGTAATTTTTGTAATTGCAGACCAGGACACTAATTGTGAGGCTGACTGAGGAGAAAAATTCTGCTATTCAGCAAAATAACAGGCTTCAGCAAGAACTGGTGAGGGACATTTTATTTCAATCGTTCTAATGTCTAGTTGATATATATTTGAGGCTCGTATCAAACCTGTTGGTGTTTGTTTTCTACTTTGTTGGCCCTCTCTTGATGGATGCATATCTTTAGAAGTTTTCATGATTTGAAATGCTCATGAGAACTACTGACTTGAGCTAAACGAGCTGTGTAACTGTGTTAATAATGATATTTAGATTCTTGGCTGATTATGATCTGAAACGCTTATTGAAATCTAGAAAGCTTCATTCTTCATTAAATGGCCTAGGTGTTTAAAGTTTTGGCAACGAACCGAAAATATAATTTTTTTACCATGGCTATTTTGTCAAATCTTATCTGACAGTATATGATGTTTCTTGGAACCACCATTCATGATAACATAACCACAATGACATGACACCTATGCACATTTAAGCTGTGTTACAAATCTGTGTATAGAATTGAGCATCTTGGTGAAGGTGAAGACAAGATTGTCGAATTGTGTGCTATAGAAGGAAAAGGAGAACATTGTGAAAAGTGATTCATCTGCATGAGACTTTTTAAATGCTATTTCATATTTGGGCCTTGTGAGGTGAATGGTTGGGTGTGGGCTAATGTCGGGCTTAACTTCGTATTTTGCCAATAATAAAAAATCTGGCTGTTTTAATCACCTCTGGATTATACCACTGGAAAATTCCTCCCATGATTTTATTGCAACGATCTGATTTAGTCATTGCCTAAGTATGCATTTTGGAACTGGGGTAGCCTCTTGCATAATGAAGTCCTCTTCATAACATAAATGCCCATAATTTCAAAATAGTTAATACCTAAACCACACTGATTTCCTTTCCACCAGGTGATTATTGAACTTTCTCTTATCATGGAATCCATGATAAAGAGAAGATGCGATTAAAGTAAAAGCTTAGTTAATGACTTTGTGGTAGTTTAAGTACTGACCATTTCAAAGTGTTTAATGTATTATAATTTCCTTATTATGTCTTAATATGCTGCCACATTTTTCTTTGTGGCTGTTATTAGAATAAAAGAAGGGGGATGGGATTAGAAACAATATATTTGAATTTTAAGAATTTCTACTTATATACAGCTGCAGTAATATAGTTAATAAGCACATAGAACAAGGCATATTAACACTGTTTTTGGCCGTGTTTAATAACTTTTTCAATTTTCATTCTTGATAAATAGTTATGGTTTCAATTACAGAAATTTATAGTAGCTTTCCAGAGAGACGATCTAACTAAAAGATTATCATTTGCAGGATCTTTTGAAGCGCGGGGCCAACAGAAGCAGTAGTGGCATCCCATTTATATATGTTGTTCTAGTTGGCTTGATTGGCATTATTTTGGGGTACCTTCTGAAGAAGACATGACCAGGCACTCCCTTTGCTGGACAATGAAATGTAAAAACAGGAAGGAAAAAACCCACCAGAAATTGAATGCGTGATTGATTAGCAGTAACCGTTGCTTATCGTATTACCAATCTGTATTGACAGTAGAGAACGTTGTGAAATGTGCGACTATTAGAGGGAACTTTGGGTCGTTGTATTAGCTGGTGTCGACACCAAGGTAACTTGTTTAAGCGGGTTTTGTAATTGACAATGGAAATTGAAAGTTTTCCTTTGTGTGATCACCTCCGTGAACATTGTTTGTGTTTCTTTCCCCCAATGAAATAATTGTTATGGGTTGACTAGTGTTGTGAGATAATCGGAATTGAAGAGTTGATTTTAATGCGGTCTGAAACAACGTGTTTAGGTATTGTTTTGCAGATTTTATACTTGTGAATGGGGTAACATGTCATTTTCATGCTTGGTAGGTGCAAACATCGGAAAGGATAGGTTTTCTATCCCTTTTCTCATTCTTTAGTTTTTAACCTAAGAACTTGCTAGAGAAGGAAATGGGTGGATGATAATGGCATATTTGTGTCCTATAGCACAATTTCTACGCGTAATATAGTCAAAACAAATTGAAATGGGAACGAGATTCCTAAAATCTCATTCCGCCAAGCAAATTCTATCATAATTAGTTAAATGAGTTAATGCAAGTTATAATTTTCAGTTTCCAGCCAAAGCACACACCCTGAAGTTAAAACAGTAAGCACCACCCTTCCCGTTCTTGAAAAAATCCTCACCTCGTTTTTGCCCTCCTGTTTGTGTATCAACACGCATAAACCGAAATAGATTCCGGTATCATCTTACATCTGCTTCCAACCTTCAAAGATATTATGTACCTTCTAATTCTCTGAAATTTAAAACATTCTTTTCCGTTCAAAATCGCTTTCAACCCATCAAGCCTGTTCAGGCTCTTTTATCATGTTGCAACGAACAACAATCTTCCGAAACTCATCCAAACTCAGCTGCAATGCATTGCAAATCATATCCAAAACTACATTTATCAGCCTAGAAAAATACTTAATTCTTTTCAATTCAATTCAATGAAAGGAAGAAAAAAACAGTTAAAATAAGTAGAGATGTTAAAGGGAAACAAAAAAGTTGCTTAAACATTCAGAGCAGCAGGAACTGACCTTCCCATCACCATCACAATCAAAACAGCGAATCATGTCAGCCAACTCCTTATCAGTCCACATAAAATCATGAGCAGTTGCTACTCTTTGTAAATCCCGTAGAGAAAGTCCTCCATTGCAGTTCTCTGCATGCCAGGAGCAATGACCAGGGTTAAGAACACTTGTGCATATTTCTACTTTGGCTTGGTAAGAGTTGACCGTACTACTCAAAAGCATATGAAATTTGAGTAGGAAACATATATAAACTAAGAGAATGTGCCACAAGTTTCATAGTAAGACATAAGAGAACATGAAACCAAAAACTGATGTGCGCTATCCAATGTAGCAATGGGTTTTCTTTAAACATGCTCATCGGAGAAGTCTCAAATGCAAGCGGTTAAAAGCTTTCTTCACAAAGTCAAACATCAACCAAGCAAGACTTAAGCTAATAGAAATATATTCTTCTGAAGACGGCATTAAACCAGATAACTACTCAAATGTATATAGCATGCGGTGGGAGCTATAATTATCAGCAAATGACCAGACAAAACCAGATCTAGTATCCTGTTATTGTTGACCATTTCTTTGTACTATTAGCTTCATAACCAACCTTATTTATCACTTTTGGGGTGCTTCTGCTCTCAAACCATGAATTTTTTTTAAAGATGCAGTGAGATCTATGTTAACTAGTGCGAATTGTGCTTCATGTAGGGTATTACCATTAGTAAACATAAAGAAAGGGATGATGAGCAACAGTGCATCGTCTATCCTTAATACACCCACTTCGAGAGTAAATAAGCATCGCCTAATCCCCCCTTCCCCCCTCTAGTCTCTACAAGACAAAGATAATAGAATTTACCATCAAACTGGAAGAAGTGCAAAACCAACTCATCCTCTGTCATCTGCAGCCGACTAGCAAACTGCCGAACACAAATCAAAGAAAACCACCAAAATGGGAGAGTCAGCTAAGTACAAAAGGAGAAAGGAGAAACATCTCTGCTTAAGATAACAAACCGATTTCTTCCTCTTCCTCCCTGTATCTTCCGGAATCTGATTGTTTCCCTTTCTTTCGTTAACCTTAGCATTATCCACATTAGAGCGCTGTAAAGGCCCACTATGTGCCACAGCTGAAACTTCTACCGACCCTTGTAATGACATAGCAATTGCCTGCATATGAATGCAAATGGATGAGTATGGTTGTCTGAATAATCACCTAGGACCAGTATCATAGCAGTTGGTTAAGGGTCACACTATTAATCTACACTGGGCAATGAGAAATTATTTGTGTTTAACAAGATACTGAAACATACCTGCTTCAACGCCTCATCATCATCGATGCAATCTTTGTTACTCAAAATACTTCGGGGAAGAGCCTTCTTAGATTTTGAACCTTTATTCTTCACCAGGATAGAGATTCAGCAAAGAAAGAATTTAAAAAGTCAGCCAACTAGTAGAGGTCATGCCACAGCACATGTCTTTCTATATAATGAGAAAACTTGCTGACCAATCCAAGGTGTCAAATTAGAACGTCTTATCTTCTCAATTCGTACATATAAGCTTTGTTTACCTTTAAATCAACTATCACTATTATAAAACTCTCATGCAGAATCCCGAATGCACCCAATCTAGATCCACCTGTGCACTGCATGGCTCCACCAGGCTAGCAACTTTAGTTCATAGTCTTCTAAGGGATCAATCCACTAAATTGGTTTCAAATTCAAAGGTTAGTCAAGAAAACATGATAATCTCCCCCATTGTTTAAGAACTTCACATAACTCTCCTTACTTGGTGAAAAATCTAATGTCCCTAAGTTACAACTTACACTGTCAATTTCGCATGTTTCTTTTCTACATTTGATTTCAATTATGAAACTCCTCTATCCATATCCATAGTTGAAGTATCAATAAATGACAACTATCATAAAACGTATATTCATTCTTTCCACACGTATGCATTGTTGTATCTGGAAAAAAAAAAAAAAACTTTCTTTTTTATACATAACGCATATCTCACCAAAGAAAAAGCCAAACAGAAACAAAGATAAAGTATACCAATTCACCAATTCATACAGGAAAATCTCGAGACACACAGACGTACACAGAACACGAACTAACCTTTTTTCTGCGTGACCCAGATGTTTTTTCACCCAAATAATCATCGTCATCATCCTCCTGGCTAGAATATGAACAAGATTCCTCCTCTTCAGGCCTATACTCTTCATCGTCCTCAAAGACCTTGGCTTTCCCCTTCTGCACCTTCTTGTTCTTTCTCTTCCCATTCTGGCCCGAACCCATTACGGAAGAAGCAATTTTAGGCAGACCTAGAGCCTCCATTCTTGCCCTGTTTTCTGCAATTCTCGATAGCCTCTGCTTCTCGTACTCTGAGACTGATGATCCCACTCGGTCTTTTTGGCCATTGCTGGGCTTTCCCGCCTCCTCTGACTCTGAGCTTGAGTTCTCGGAGGTTCCTTCGTGTTCCGAGTCCGAGGGATCGTGTTCGGGCATTTTGGATTATGAGAATGGAGCTGTGAGATTATCAGATTCTGGCAAATTCGCTATGCGCGGTCTCAACCGCCAGAAGAAGAATAGGTTTCGCGGCCCTCACAAACATGTATAACGACACGTCGTTCAAAAGTTCGGGGCGAAGCTTGAATTAAATCGTTGTCGCTGTTGGTCCAATATTTTGTTATTGATTATCACCAATATTATTGTATTTTGCCGTGCTTTTCTACCGACTATTTAACTGAGAGAAATTTTCCCAATTATAATTCAATTTACGATATAAAGTTTTCTTTGACATATGGAAGAGTCATTTGTTGACATAACTTGTATTTAAAAGTCCGTAACATCGCCAACTAGGGTTGATTCAGTTGGTAAAGTCCTTCTGTATAGCTCAATCAATATTCGAGTTCCACTGCCATCAATTCTTGTTGATAAGTCCTTCCGGCTCGAGGTTGTGAGTCTGTTATGGTGCTGGTGGTGAGAGTAGTCAATCTCCCCTAACTTTTTTTTCACCAAAAAAAAAAAAAAAAAAAAGTCCTTAACATCGAATCATAGTACAATAAACACAAATATTACAAGAAGAAAAGCATTAACCCACATAACAAAGCCAAGTTCAATTGATTGTGTCAAAGGGCTCATGTCATATTCTTTGGGCAATTAGACAGTACATTTAGAACACTCATTTTATCTCTCAATAATTTGATTCATTTCAATTCTGACATATTCCAAATCCAAGAGGTTAACTTCATAATTGATGCTCAAACAAAATATGGACATTCGATAGAAACAATTCATATACATAATAAAATAATTCTCTTTTACGTTACATGTGATTTTAGCTTTTAATTTTGATAGAAAAAATTCAAGCTATTGTAGAGGGTTTGTGTTGTAATTTTTCTCTCCTTAGCAGAAAACAAATCTTATTCTTAATAAATTCTTTGGTTTACCTTCTTTGGTCAAAATAGTTATGATTACCTTTAGAAGCAAAAATTGGGGAATATTTATGAATAAGGCCAAAAACATGAAGCAACAAAAGATGGAAACAAACAAAGCAACAACTATCAATCAAATCCTCTCGACACCTCCGCCCACTCTATCGGTGGCACATACAACACACTGCAAGAGCAGAATCAGAAATTAACATGCTCTTCCTCTTGCTAAATAAAACTGACCAGTAAGTGGTGAGCCTCAATCCATCATGGCAACAACGTCGTATTTCCAACTCCATCGGTGCAGTCCATTCCCACTCTCTCTTTCCTCTCGTTGCTCTTGTCCCTGCCGCCCCTCGCCCTCCAAAACCCTAGTTCTCACTCGTCCGCGCCCAAAATTGGGTCATCTGGATCTCTTGTTCGACGGAAATAGACGTGCGCTGGGGCTTGGCCGAAATGGAGCTTTGGCTAGCCGCCGGCTAATCGCAGTCTCGGCTCGAGCCAAGCCGGAACGGCTTAGCGAGGACAATGCCCACCAGGTACTGGAGAAAGAAAGGGACGATTTTGATTCTTTTTTGTTTCTGAATTTTGGTTTGGCTGTGATTGGGAATGGCATTATGTTGAAAAATTAGGGTGGGAGTGATGCGGTGGAAGGTGGCGGTGAATTTGAATGTCAATTGTGGTTTTGGCGCTGAAAAGGAACTTGCTTTAATGGTTTGGTGTGTTGATAGTGATATAAAAGCTTGGAAAATGGATATTTTTTTGACTCATTATTGGTAATGTTTGTGAGATAATTGGGCATAATTTGACCGTTTAATGGTATTAAGGCAATGCATGCTAATAATTTCAAAGGGTCTTGAAATCGTTTCACGGGTAATGTTACAAATGTGAAGTTTTTTAAGGGGCAGTCTGCTTGATTGAATTTTACTTCGAAATTTATATTCTTTTTTTAGAGGTTGCATGTTTTTATTGAAGCAATGTACTGAAATGGGTATTTGTAGGAAGTCCACAAAGGCCATAAATTGTCAATGAATGAGGATGCGGTCTCAGAGCATCAACAGAAAGCCAGTCAGTTAAAGAAAAGAATTTTTTTTGGACTCGGAATTGGGTTATCTGTAGGCATTGTCGTGTTGGCTGGAGGATGGGTATTCACAGCAGCTGTGGCGGCTGCTGTTTTTGTTGGCGCACGCGAGTATTTTGAATTGGTTAGGAGTCATGGAATTACTGCAGGGATGACACCTCCACCTCGATTTGTGTCACGAGTTTGCTCTGTTATTTGTGCTCTCATGCCCCTAGTTACCTTGTAAGATTGGTAACGTGGCTCAAATATTTTGTGGGACTGCAGCCCGGAATTTTTTGATAATATGCTTACTGTTATTTCCATTTGAAAACATGCAAATTCAGTTGGAAGCTGGAAATAAAAGTGTAGTTATATCCAGATTCCTTATAATTTTCATTTGTTATAGAAATCATGTTCCTGTACTCAGTGTTAAGAAAATTGGACCAAAGAGTAAAATTCCAATATGTAAGATAGTGAATCTGGTGAGGACCAATTTTAGGTGTCTGTACCTTCCATTTTATCATTGCACCCTCCTGTTGAAAAAGATAAGGGATATGATTATGTGTATTACATTGAAATCCTAGGATTGACACTTCAATCAATCTGGATGTGGCTGTGGAAAGTATTCATTATGCTCATGTAAGGCAAAAAGCCTTAACCTTGTTTCTGGTTCTTCCAACCAAAGAGCTGTAGAAAATCTATATCTGCTTTTCATGGTTGAGCTGTTCATTTCTTGTTCAATTTAACTCCTTATGCTACTTAAACTTACATTTTACAGATATGTTTGGGATGGGTATAGGAATTTTGAGAATTGAACCTGCATCAAATATTTATTCACTGCCTTATTTGAGTGTCTATGCTGATGCTTTTTCATTCATCTTGTTTTCAAATGTGTTTCATTTGGAAGAAAAAAAAAACAGTTTTGTCTTAATGATGTACTATTTAATCGTAGAATTTTGGTTTCTTTTGGTTTGAAATGTATGCAAACAACCTTTTTCTCTCTCTTTCTTTTATCAAATTTTGTATAGGCATGAAGTTCGTTTTTGGATGTGTGGTCAATAATGATCTCTGATTAGAACTTCTGATGCGTGGGCAGGTATCGCGGTCAAATTGATGTTTCCGTGACATCTGCTGCCTTTTTTGTTGCTATGGCATTGCTTTTACAGAGAGGAAATCCTCGCTTTGCACAGCTTAGTAGCACAATGTTTGGGCTATTTTACTGTGGATATCTTCCTTGTTTCTGGGTTAAGCTTCGATGTGGCCTAGCAGCACCAGCCCTAAACACTAGTAAGAAGTTGGGTTTACAAATTTATACTGGAAATTGAAGAATAGGGGGATTTTTCAAAATGAGCACGGACTTTGGTGTTCTATGTCAACCTTTGGTTCCTAATTATTTTGTTCTTTGGCAGGTTTTGGATCAGCATGGCCCATCCTTCTTGGTGGACAAGCTCACTGGACTGTTGGTCTTGTGGCAACCTTGATTTCTTTCAGTAGCATAATTGCTGCTGACACTTATGCTTTTCTGGGTGGCAAGGTATCTAGGCTCTTGAAATTGCTCCGCAGTACATTTACTCTCTCCTTTCTTCTTTTTTTTTCGAGAATATACCTTCTCTTATTATGAACTTTTTGTAGAGCTTCAGTTACTGCATCTGGATTTTTTTTTTTTAAACTTTGTCCGATAGGTATCATAGTCCCAATTCTTATGAACCTGCCATGTAACTAAGGCTTCAGGATGGGTTTTGTGAGCACTCCCAACAGATGGCTCCTAATTGGACTGTCACCATTGGAGTTATTATAGATATGCTGGCGCAGTGTGCAATCCAAGTTCTTTTTTTTTTCTTTTGATTGGTGTGCAAAATCCAAGTTAAACCATGAAAGTTCCTAAAAATTGAACCTTCAAAATTCCTGGGTTATATATGTGCTACTGCTGGTACTTATCCTGCAAATTTTGATTCAGAACTTTTACTTTCCATTTTCAAACAGTTTAGGGAGGGTTTAATATGCTCTTTCCTCTTATAAATCAAATTTTAGATTGTTAACGTGTGCCTCAGTCTGTCTGAAACTTATTGGAATTTTTTTTTTTTTCTTTTTTCCTATCCAGCTATACTGAGGAGATTTGCAGTAACTTCTTTTTGTTTTGTTTTGTTTTTGTTTTTTTGGTTTTTTTTTTTTTTTTTTTTTTTTTTTTTTTTTTTTTTTTTTTTTTTTTTTTTTTTTTGGCAATGAATGTGAAGTTGGTTAGTTAGCAGTTATTCAATCTTGTTTACTTTTTTGTGTTGTCTAGGTTTATAAATTTCAAGAGGTCAGGACTTTTATGTCTCCTTACAAGGAACCAGTGAAACTAGTGTTCATGTTTTTTAGCTCCATCTTCTTTATAATTACGATTGATATGGAAGACTTCCTTATTTCATAATATTATTTGGTCACATGCCTGTAATAAATTCTTGATATAGCTCTGTACTCCAAATGCAGGCATTTGGTAGGACACCCCTTACCACTGTTAGTCCAAAGAAGACATGGGAAGGAACTATTGTAGGGTTGGGCGGTTGTATAGCCACTTCTGTTGTATTATCAAGGATATTTTGCTGGCCCAAATCTTTATTAAGGTATTCCATCTTCCTCCAGTGCAATCTTTAGAGTTGCTTCTGAATTTTTATTTTTATTTTTTCATCTAAGGAGTAACTGTTTGGTTTTCATAATTTATAATTGTTTTGAAAAAAAAAAAAAAAAAGAAATCATTACGAGTTGGAACTAAACTTCGACAGCACCTTGAAGAGTAAACCTGAAACACAAAATTAGTCATTTCTTACTATATGTTTGGTCTTATAACTCAGACATGCTTCAGGTTGGACAATATTAAGAACTTAACATGGTTCTCTGTTGTAAAAGTATCATCCCTGCATATACGCAATGACAGTTTTACTACATGGTGGACTCTGAATTGTTAATTGCAGCTTTATGCATTGTTCTTGAATGATGAAAATAGCAACTTATGCTGGAAAAACTTGATTTGAATTATTTGGTACCTAGAATAGGATTTTTTATATATTATTTATTATGTCTTCAGTGCAAGGAGCACCAATAGATGGTGTTTGATTTTCCTTTTGGACTAACTTCTGAATCAAAGTATCATGTAATTGTTCCTAGGACTTGCTTGTGTGGTGCAGTATGAAAATTTTCTTTATCAATTATCCAAGTGCTGAGCAGTCCTTTTTGCTTTAAGACGAACATGCATACTGTATTAACAGTTTTTGAAATCATTACAGTTTTTAAGAAATGTTTCATGTGCATTTATTTTGTATTTTTTTGGATGGTTTCCAGCGTGATAGCATTTGGGTTTCTGAATTTTTTTGGCTCCGTATTTGGTGATCTTACGGAATCGATGATCAAACGTGATGCGGGTGTAAAGGACTCTGGGTCTCTAATACCAGGACATGGTAATACCTTCAACTCATGGTTGTATCTTGTGCCAAAGCTTGCGCTTTTGAAAAGTTATGGAGAAAGTGCATTATCTGTTTGTTTGATGCAAATTATTTCAAGAATGCTTGTCTTATTAAACGTTCGCTTGAAAGTTTCTTATTGGGAATACACAAACACATGTACACGCATGAGGTAGTGTTGCAATGAGGATTGAGAACTTAATTTGACGATTTGCATCAGAATTATTAGATCATATATGAACCCATGAGATGCGAAGCAGGTAAAAGTGGGTGAAATGTATTTCAATCATTCATATATGATCTAAAGAGTAATGTTGAAGTCCTCAAGTTAAGAAATCAACTCAGGTCCTCAGTAGATTGCTTATGTATAGTGTGCATGCATGTGTAATTATTTTCCAATAAGGCCTTAAACGAGGACCTGTTTCGCATTTGTTAAACTTAAACCATATATGAGGGGACCGAGATTTATTGAGATGAATTTTACTCTGTGTATCTCAGCCCTCCATATTGGTGTGATGGTTGAGAAACATGTCCCTCTTTAAGAGCTTAAAGAAGGTCCTTATTAGAGAATAAATTTCTCTCTCCACTTATGTGTGTGTGTGACAATAAACTGTTATTGCCGAATGGATGATAATAAGAATGCTCAACAACTGTCCTTCGTTGCTCGAGTAATAATGCTCCCTTTCAGACCATGATTCCACTCTTATAATCTTTGTTCTTTTTATTTTATATTAACGCATATTGCATTATATCATATACCTAACATGAAATTCTTCAAGAGTTCTCTTAACTTTCTTTTGGTGATCAACTGACATTTGATGCAGGAGGAATACTAGATAGAGTGGACAGTTACATCTTCACGGGTGCACTTGCATACTCCTTTGTCAAAACCTTCTTGCCACTTTATGGAGTTTGATAGACATATTTGGTCATTGCGAAGTGATATTAGAAAGGAAATCATGGTCATTACCAAGTCAAAATGAGGCAAAGCTGTTTTGGTTAGCATGAGCTGCAAGCATGTTGGAGGGACGAATTCTTTCGTTTATTCAATCTGAGAGAGAGAGAGAGAGAGAGAAAGAGAGAGCTCTAGATGTCTCCGAGTCCTAATTTAATCTGATCTAGAAAGATGTTCCTCTGTACTTGTAAGGGGCTTGAGATTATATTTCCTGACTTCTCCAGGTTCTGATACCAAATCCACGTTCAAAGGAATACTTGTTTAACAATGTTTCTTGAATTGCATGACATCAGTTAATCCAGCGGTAGCATGATCATCTCTGATGTCTACAGTAGAGCTGCTTTGAGCCATTGACGCTAGTCTTCGACAGCACCTTGAAGAGTAAACCTGAAACACAAAATTAGTCATTTCTTACTATATGTTTGGTCTTATAACTCAGACATGCTTCAGGTTGGACAATATTAAGAACTTAACATGGTTCTCTGTTGTAAAAGTATCATCCCTGCATATACGCAATGACAGTTTTACTACATGGTGGACTCTGAATTGTTAATTGCAGCTTTATGCATTGTTCTTGAATGATGAAAATAGCAACTTATGCTGGAAAAACTTGATTTGAATTATTTGGTACCTAGAATAGGATTTTTTATATATTATTTATTATGTCTTCAGTGCAAGGAGCACCAATAGATGGTGTTTGATTTTCCTTTTGGACTAACTTCTGAATCAAAGTATCATGTAATTGTTCCTAGGACTTGCTTGTGTGGTGCAGTATGAAAATTTTCTTTATCAATTATCCAAGTGCTGAGCAGTCCTTTTTGCTTTAAGACGAACATGCATACTGTATTAACAGTTTTTGAAATCATTACAGTTTTTAAGAAATGTTTCATGTGCATTTATTTTGTATTTTTTTGGATGGTTTCCAGCGTGATAGCATTTGGGTTTCTGAATTTTTTTGGCTCCGTATTTGGTGATCTTACGGAATCGATGATCAAACGTGATGCGGGTGTAAAGGACTCTGGGTCTCTAATACCAGGACATGGTAATACCTTCAACTCATGGTTGTATCTTGTGCCAAAGCTTGCGCTTTTGAAAAGTTATGGAGAAAGTGCATTATCTGTTTGTTTGATGCAAATTATTTCAAGAATGCTTGTCTTATTAAACGTTCGCTTGAAAGTTTCTTATTGGGAATACACAAACACATGTACACGCATGAGGTAGTGTTGCAATGAGGATTGAGAACTTAATTTGACGATTTGCATCAGAATTATTAGATCATATATGAACCCATGAGATGCGAAGCAGGTAAAAGTGGGTGAAATGTATTTCAATCATTCATATATGATCTAAAGAGTAATGTTGAAGTCCTCAAGTTAAGAAATCAACTCAGGTCCTCAGTAGATTGCTTATGTATAGTGTGCATGCATGTGTAATTATTTTCCAATAAGGCCTTAAACGAGGACCTGTTTCGCATTTGTTAAACTTAAACCATATATGAGGGGACCGAGATTTATTGAGATGAATTTTACTCTGTGTATCTCAGCCCTCCATATTGGTGTGATGGTTGAGAAACATGTCCCTCTTTAAGAGCTTAAAGAAGGTCCTTATTAGAGAATAAATTTCTCTCTCCACTTATGTGTGTGTGTGACAATAAACTGTTATTGCCGAATGGATGATAATAAGAATGCTCAACAACTGTCCTTCGTTGCTCGAGTAATAATGCTCCCTTTCAGACCATGATTCCACTCTTATAATCTTTGTTCTTTTTATTTTATATTAACGCATATTGCATTATATCATATACCTAACATGAAATTCTTCAAGAGTTCTCTTAACTTTCTTTTGGTGATCAACTGACATTTGATGCAGGAGGAATACTAGATAGAGTGGACAGTTACATCTTCACGGGTGCACTTGCATACTCCTTTGTCAAAACCTTCTTGCCACTTTATGGAGTTTGATAGACATATTTGGTCATTGCGAAGTGATATTAGAAAGGAAATCATGGTCATTACCAAGTCAAAATGAGGCAAAGCTGTTTTGGTTAGCATGAGCTGCAAGCATGTTGGAGGGACGAATTCTTTCGTTTATTCAATCTGAGAGAGAGAGAGAGAGAGAGAAAGAGAGAGCTCTAGATGTCTCCGAGTCCTAATTTAATCTGATCTAGAAAGATGTTCCTCTGTACTTGTAAGGGGCTTGAGATTATATTTCCTGACTTCTCCAGGTTCTGATACCAAATCCACGTTCAAAGGAATACTTGTTTAACAATGTTTCTTGAATTGCATGACATCAGTTAATCCAGCGGTAGCATGATCATCTCTGATGTCTACAGTAGAGCTGCTTTGAGCCATTGACGCTAGTTTTCTCCTCACCTCACCCTTTATCTGGGAGTCTTATTTTTTATTTTTGTATATTTATGTTGGATGAGTCCCACTTTCTTCTTATTTGTTCTACTGTTGTAGTGAATAATAACAACTATTTAATTGTCAATAAAGGTTGCATCATTCTTTGGGGAAACCCATTTGTTCTGTTGTTTGTGTTCACTCTTCAAGTTTCTTTGTTTCTTTATTTCCCACAAAGAAATGTTGAAATACTTGAGCTTGCCGGTTGGTTGTGGAAGTTTTGAATTATACCTCTTCAATTTTTTTTCTTCTTCTTTTATCTGTCAATTTCTGTATTTAGCTCTGAATACCAACTTACTGCCGTGTATGTAGCTTTAAAAAAAATATTTATGTAAAAATTAAAAAATTAAAAACTCACTGCCAGTTGAAGGTAATGTTCACCTGCTTCCAGGGATACACCTGCTTAACTTATCAAAACTCAACTGTGGCAGTGTTTAAGGGTTTGAAACTGTTGAGTTTTGCTACAAAGAAAGTAGCAAGTGTTTGTTGGTTTGAAATCCTTGAATTTTGGCAAAATCATTTTGGTTTTGAGGAAAAACATCATACTTTGTGTGTTGACAAAAAAAAGGTCTTGCTATTGAGTGCTCATAGTTCAAATTATAATCATTTGATTGTCTCTCGATCTTAACTCAAAGACTATTTTGCCTTCCACTTATAAGTTTTTTGGGTGGTAACGGTAAATGTTATTTGTTGACATCGGTTGTCAATTCAAACCATCTCCATTGATATTTAAAAAAAAGAACAAATGCAATCCTTAATCATTGAAAACTTCGGTGGTTACGATGGGTGTTAGTTGGATTCGCTTAGGTTATGGTGTCCTCCCAAGTGGTCTTGGGTTCAAACCCTCATGGTATTTGTACAATAAATTGGCTAACCTAGTTGTTAACCCATAAAATCTTTAATCAATTGAAAAATGACAGTGATATATCTTTGTTCATCAAATATGTCAACATTTGTCCTCATAGAAAACTAAAGGCTTACTAGGACAAGGCCCCCCTTTCCCTCAAAATCCCACCATCACACTCAGTATAATTAGTTTAATGTCAATTGACTTATAATTGTTTAGCTGGTCAGCTCTTTTTAATTTATTTATTTTTGGTGCAGCATGAACTATAACAGAAAAAGAAAAGAAAGTCAATATCTTATCATGCATGTAAACCGAAAGAACCCTAATAATTGAAGAAAGTTGTCACCAATTATTTATCAGGCAGGACAAGTTGCCAACCACCACTAAGTTATATGAGTGACCCAACAGGTGTTTGTTGGGCTTATATGTTGGGTGTTGGTATAAAAAATAACCTATTTGAGACCAAAGAATGTAATTCCCAATAAATATAGGAATTTTTTTTTTTTTTTTATGTCTACAACGGAGAAGATGATTCGAATTTTGAATTTCTTATAACATTAATTTGCGACCGTCTATACATTTTGAAAATAACAAAATTTGTTCAAATAACATGAAAATGTTATTCTTCAGTTCATGGATTTGAATGGTGCCTGAAAACTTACACTGAAAAAGATTATTGGTTACATGAAAAATAGTACATTCTTTCATCCATGGCAGAAGCAAACTTACATATATAATGTGTCTATTATGAGGTCATTTAGAACACTAAACCAAACGAAACCAAAGCTGATGTGATATATAATATAAAATAAAGCATGAAACAGACATGAGAAGTGATTAATGTTGGGTTGACCCAGCTCGATGAGGTTCCCTTACAGATAGAAAGATGGAGATAGAAGAAGGGAAAAAAAAAAGAACACAGGCCCTGAATTGGAGGTTGCGGTCAACTCATCCATGCAAACTTTTGGTGGAGCCAGAACACCACCAAATATGAGAGAGAGAGAGAGAGAGAGAGAGAGACTTGAGGAATAAGATGAGAGGTGTTTTGTGTTTTGTTTTTGAGGGCCTACCATGAATGGCTTTTGACAATCATATGAGTGCTTACTTTTTGGGGCTTTGGCATAAAAGAAAATGTGTGGGATGCAAAGAATGCGTTGTATCTAAGCTGACTAAATAAGAAAACAAGAAAGAGATAAATTAAAGTAGAAAGATAGAGAAAATTAAAAACAATGAAGAAAAGAGATGGAGAGAGTTGGAGGAGATATGCATGGTGGGCAAGCATCTATAAAAGTTGAGAAAAAGAGATAGAAGCTAATAAGATTGTCTGATTACAAAACCCCTAACTTTTCTAAAACACACACACACACACACCCCTCCATGTATCTCCAACCCCACTCCATCTTCCACCTCATACCAACTTTTGCTTTTCTTTTTATTACTTTTCTTAGCCATTTGCATTGGATGCCCACATGGTTTTGCCATTGGCTTCTTAAGTTGCTTCTGTTTTATTGTTCTTACTTATATAAAAATAAATAAAAATCTTTCTATATTATGTAGAAAAAAACCTTAATTTTAAGGAGCCAAACTTTGCTCAATAACTAAAATATCTTTTAGAAAAATGTGGTTTATAACATAATTACCGCAAAGCTAAGAAACCCGAACACTAGATGGCCTGCAATTAATTTATATAATTCTTTTTTTCTTTCTCATTTACAACCTATTTAATTGCATGGCAAAGATCATTCTAGCCAAATTAATTAATGGCTCTCTGTTCATTTCTTTGCTACTAAGGAAAGGAAGTATCAACTTGAGGAGGAGATTCGATTGAGAGCCGTGCATGAAATAATTGACACAGAAAGTATAGGGGATATGCATGCAGAAATAAATAAAGAGAAGATGATTTTGAAACTGTCACACTGTGACATGATTTAGAAAAATGTGGGAAGTTTTGGAATATGATTCTTGAAAATGATCCCTAGTAAATTATTGAACAAATAGTAGAACAAATAGTAGTACAAATAGAAATTTCAATCCCATTTGAAGAGGAATTGTAGCTGATTGAGATATATAATTCCTGCTATGCTAGTGGGGTCTCATTGTTTTTCTATGTGATTTTTGTAATAACATCTTCAAGATTTGATGGTGGATTTTTCATTGATTGAAAATGCATGATCAATTAGGCTTTATGTAGTGTCCTACCCAATTTATAGAACTTTGAAGAGGACAAAAGCTGCCAAATGTCTTTGAAGGGGGTGGGGGGAGCTTTAGCATATCTTTGTTCTTTCAAAATAACTGAAATCTCCCCTCACTCCTAGAAGGAGGCTTCTCCAAGACAAAAGTGCTTACCTCAAATTCCTTAATAAAAAGTTGACTATCATTATACTTTCCAAGGAAGGTTGATTTTCTCTCTTATGGAAAACTAGAAAAAAAAGTGAGCTGCTTTTATGGCCCTCCATATCTAGAAGATGCTTAGATAGGTCTCTCTATCCTTCTATCTTTGCCTCCCTGGCCTCCTCATGGAATCTGCTTTCAGCTCCTGAATTGACAAGGGCAAACAATGGAGAGCAGGTCCATCCAAAATGTTCTTTCCCTTTCTTCACCCCCAATTGGGCCACCTAGAGACCACAAGAAAGGACCATACTTGCTAGTTGTAAAGATTTTTGATATCTTCCTCAAGGGCAAAAATGCAAAATGACCTTTAACTAAAGCTTAGCAAAAAGATGAACAATTTTTTCATTGGTGTTGTTCATGGGTTTTAATTGGAGTTCTCTGCATATGCTCCTTGAAAACTACTCTTAGGGCTAATGTGTGGGGTTGCACCTAATTTGTGGAGGGCAATGCTTCCACCCCTTCTAAATAATTGACACATTCGTTAAGCCTGAAATGGACTATGCATTGCCTTTTGAAAATAGCCTATTTCATGGATAAGAAATTCTCTTTGTTCCTCAACCAAATTTTATGTTTACTTTAGGGCCCGTTTGATAACCATTTAAATTTTAGTTTTTAGTTTTTAATTTTCATTTTTTGTGCTAGAGTATAGAGGAAAATGAGGGAGAATGGAAGTGAGAATGAGAATGAAGATAGGATTGAGATGGAGGATAGGAGGGGAGGAGGGGAGGAATGAGTAAAAAAAAGTGAAAAAGTAAAAATAAAAATTGAAATGTTTTCCCTTTTGTTACTCCTCCCTCCCATCTCCCCTCTTATCCTCTCTCTCCGATCTCATCCTTACTCCCATTCTCACTCTCATTTTTCTTTATACTCTAGCACACAAAATGAAAACTAAAAATTAAAAACTAAAATTGAAATGATTATCAAACGGGCCCTAAGTTAATCATAGTTCTTGAAGCATTTGTAAAACCTGTCATTCATTGCACTAAAGGGACATGGCAATGGCTTTGTTCCCCAACTAGCCTTTGCCCCTCAAATTTTCTGGACAATCCAAAAGTTGATCAATACCTAGCATTTTTTGTCAGTTCTTATGCTGGCTCTAGTTGAGGGGTGAAGCTGACATCAATTGGACAAAAATCTTTTTCTTGGATCACAAGGACTTTAAAGCTCCAACAGCTCCTTTAGAACTTTCCCTTGTTAAGAAATTGGAATCTCTAAGATGATGTCAAGGAAACACTAACAATTTGGAAGTTAATTTTTTTTTGAGTGAGGAAATAGAAAGTTTTCTACCCCACCTGCTTGAATTTGGAAATCGAATTTTTCTTCAAACAAAAGTAAGAAACAAAGTGAATGAAGTCATCATGAAGAAGAGAGGTCGAGGGAATCCAACTGTCAGAGCCATGGCCTTGTTCTTGGTCTCAAGGACATTGCAAGCACTCAAATTCTAACTAAAAGATGGACAACATATCTAGATCGAATCCATGAGCAATGAAATCCACTGAGACATACTTTGAAGTTTGAAGCTAGCATGCCCATGCATGATGCATCCACCGACAGGCTATTCTAATCTCAACTCATTTTCCTAGCCTCCCCCACTACTTGGACTATAAAGGGTATGTTACAACATTTTGAAAGTTCAACGGAAAGTGAGTGGGGCTAGCTAGTACCATACCATCCATCTAATTACAGTTTGACCCTTTCTAAAATTGCTTAGAAAAGACATTTGAATTTTTTATTTTTTATTTTCTAAATAAACCTCAAAGTTGCCATGACTCTCCCACTTGTCAAGGAGGTTATTGCTCTCATGGCTGCGCCCCCTAGCCCTAGGAGGCTGTAAGGGACGTTGGTTCACTATATATGCTGGTGCTGCCCCTCATGGGGTAAGGGGTGGCGTGCCACCCGTGACAACCACCGTCTTCTATTAGTGAAAAATAATTAGGGCTATGTATGGGTGTTTTGTTGTGAATGTTGAATTTAAAGGAGTGGGTGTTTACCGCTATATTTTTGTCTTGAACGAAACACAAGTTGGTTGGTGATCTATGTAAATTATTAAGGGTTTGTTTAGAAGTGCCTCTGGAAGCTTTTTTTGACAACGAAAAACGCTTTTTACAATGTTTGACATAAAATAATAGAAACACTTTATGGAGAAGCATCTAGTATGTGTTTCTTTAGAAAGCAATCTCAAGTGCTTTTTTAGGAAGCACTTGGATTTCTTTTAAAAATTTCAACATTTTTATAATGAAAACAATTTTATTAGAAGCGCTTAAGAGCATATGTGCTTTCTAAAGAAGTAGTCCCAAACGAGCCCTAAGCCTCGATAATACCACTACTCTAATTTTATTATATCATTCTTTTTGTACAAGCAACTAGTTTTAACTCTTAAATTGATCACTTTTTTCACCATTATCCAATCAATTAATTGTTAAATTTCGTCAAAAAAAAAAAATGGTGAAAAATATCATTAGGCCAATAACTAATGTCATTATTTATTCACTTGAAACAAAGTAAAACCAATGTGTATAAATGATATTCTACTTTAATATAATATAAATTATAGGGAGATGGATTCGAACTCAAATGCAAAGTGGGAAGCACATTCGTTCTAACCAACTTGACTAAGCTCATGTCTGCATAAAACCAATGTACTTAATCCTCTTGGTTATGTTATGATAGAAATATGAAAAAGGAGAATATAAGATTACTTGCCCAACTATTAAACTCTTTATTGTCCTTGGAGCCAACCAGTGTTGGCTTTCTTCATATTTAAACAAAGTAATAATGGTACAGAAACATCTTTTCCTCCTCCTGCAACAACATGGCCTCATCTTCTAACCTTAGTATATATTAAACAAAAGTAGTTTAATGAAGTGTTTCCAAGGTGCTAAAAAGAAAGTGTCTAAACTAATCATGTGGGGGTCCAATAAAACACTACCCATGTGATTTCAATAGGGGAGGCACAAAAAATTAGTAAACAACAAAACATTTTAGTGTATAATAATACAAGGGGCTGACATAAATACATGTATTAAGATACACAATGTCTAGCAATAACATATGTAGATGTATATGAGAGAAGGTGTGATGAATTTAATTATCTATTACACCTACCATGATTGATTGACATTCAAACACAAAATGTCATAAGTATTTGATGAAGTCTCACAAATGCATGTATGTAATAGAGCCAATTTAGGGCATGATTGAACATCCCATCCTTTCAGATCCTTAAATAAATGGAAGAGTATTTTAAATATATATAAAAAAAAGGTTTAGCCAAATGAATATGTAATTTATGAAGTACCTACCAAAATTTGGCACTAATAATTTATGGTCAATGAAAAAAAACTCATAACAATAAATTAATTGTTATAAAAGTAAGTGTCGTTTCAAAGTTTGATTGATTACGAAATATATGATTTAATTATTTAAAACCATAAATTTTTTTTTTTTTTGGGGGTAGATTTTATCATATAATTTGATATATACAACCGGTCTGGTTTCCAATCTTGGACTACATAACTAACTCAACTGGCATAAACATTTGCCAATTATTCTTAACAGCCGATCAAAGTTTAATGCATATACGGCCAACGGGTTCTAGATCAGTTGAAAAGTACTTTAATTTGCAGATAAAAAATTTTAGGTTCAAACTCGTATAACATCTTAGTTGTGTGTGTGAAAGAAAGCCCCCTTCTATTTAATTTAGATTGTTGTTTGTACTAAAAAAAAAAGTTTAAAACATATGAAAAAACTCATATGTTCGTATTTTTAATGAGTTCTTTTTACATATATATCAAATTGCGACTGGCAGAAAGTATGAATGGGTCCATTGAGTATTGGAAAGACGATAATTGACAAACTAAAGACAGAAATATAGCCAAAAATAGTTTCGATTGTCCCAGCCACTAGAAAATGCCAATAATCACATCTGATGGAGACCAAAACAAAGTCGGCATTGAAACAAGTACTCCTGATAACATTTGATTGAACCAAACTGTTGTACCAAGAAACTTTGTTTTTTTAAAACCACCGAAAGTTATCCGAAGAGAAATACAGATAATAAACATGGCAAGAGAACACTACTTTCTGACAAGTACTGGTTCAGGGGACAAAGATTTCAGCTAGAACCTCATGAGAGAGAGAGAGAGAGAGAGAGAGAGAGAGAGAGAGAGGGATAAATTCCAATATTCTGGGATTTTCACATACAAATGAAGTATTGGTACACAATTTCACAATCATTGGGGTTTGGTGAAGAATCCTTTGAATTGTTGAATACCAGGTCATAAAATTTCCAAGCAATTGGTAATAACTTCAAATGAGCTTGAAAACTTGAGGTATCAAATTTGAAGTTTATATAATTTTCTCATATATCTTGAGTTCTACTTTTCTTTGTTGTGTAGCGTACAACAAAAACTCACCAACTTAATTATGAAAAAACACCACAATAGATATACCCAAATCCATAGTAAGAAACTGAAAATATGAAAAAACTGTACAAAGCCATTGAGTTACTTTCGAATGTTCGGTTTCTTCATTGGAAACAAAAGGCCTACTACAGCACCATAGACAATTAGCATAGTTGCAAGAAAACTGAAAAGGTTCCGAAACTAAAGCAGTAAGTTATGAAGCACCTCGGAGACGAGAATTAATTGGTAGAACCAAGTTCAAAATGCTGGTTCTTCAGCACCTCCAAACCGAGACTGAGATGAGATCCTTGCGCTGCCAGCAGAGAACAAGTGAAGACTGTCTCTTCTCGATGTGGAAACCCCCAACTGGAGTCCGCTGCACTAAGCACTCGGCTTGAGATTCGGTGAAATTACTGAATGTCAATGGGGAGAACCCAGATGACGAAAACAGAGTCCTCCATGGAGGCGTTCTTTTAGGCGAAAGGTGGCGGCCGGTTACAATCTTTTCAATGCCTGGTTGGAGCAAGTACCTCTCAATCTTCTGCAGAGCATCTGGGTTTACATTTACAGCATCTAGTGATTCAAGCAGGCCAGAGTAAGAGTGAAGGGCTTGGATGACTTGGTGGGCAAATGGAACATCGGTCCGGTCACTGCCTCTGTCCAAAGAGACCACAATTTTTGGAGAAAGCTGCTTAACAAAGCCTAGGGCCATAGTAAGTGATAAAGGGTTATTTGAAAAGGAACCAATTGGGAGATTAACAGCAACTGCCACACCCTCAGAGACATGAAGGGGCAATCCCCAAGAACCAGAGTTCAACGCCTCGAGGCTTACAAGTTCAAGTTCGAATGACAAGTTAAGTTCACTAGCAAAGTGTTTGAGGTTTTCTCGAGTGAAACCAATCTCAAATTCATCATGCGTGGAGGAGGATATAAATGCAGTGATCTTAAAAGAAGGTGCCCCACAATTTCTCAAGGCAATTTCTTGCATAAAAGAAGCCCATTGCCCACCATAGCCAATATCAAAATCAATAACATGGACACGGTTGAAGCCTTCCACAGCTTCAAGGATGGCTTGGTTACAAGTAAAGTTGGCAAATTGGAGAACAGGTGAGATTTCAGAGAATGATTTATAAGCACCAATCTTGAAAATCAGGCTAAAAGGTGACAAAGCATTAGAAGAGTTACTAGAGGTGTTGATGTGAAGGAGCAATTGTAAGGCCTCCTTGAAATAAAAAGCAGCCCTTTGAAAAGGCTTACCAATGGGAGAGAGCTGGTGATTGAGCCGCGCCAATATCCCTTGCGCGAGTGCCGGATTTCCTGTTTCGATCAGCTCTGCTGCATTGAAAAGCTGGTCAATTGCTGCTTGCTGAAGCTGCTGCTGGTTCTGGTTCTGGTTCATCATTTCTTTAGTTCCCTCTGCTGGGCTCAACATATTCTCCTTCACCAACATTGTTGGCCTCTGTTGTTGGAGATGCTGTGGAAGAAATTGAAGCTGCTGCTGCTGCTGCTGCTGATGCTGATGCTGCTGCTGTGCCCGAACCAATAGCTCTTGTCCGGGATTCGAAAACGGTGCTCTTTGGACCGGGTAATTGGGTCCAAAGCCACCAGAATTAAGCCTTTTGGGTGGTGGTGGTGAAAGAAGGTGGTGCTCTTGCAATTGGGTATATGTCAAAGGCATAAACAAAGCTGGGTTTTGAGTGAATTGAGCTTGGTTTTGGTTCATCACCATCTGGGGATTGAAAATTTGAGGCTTCTCATCCATACCCATGTGTTGTTGCTGCTGCTGAAACATGCCAGGAGAAAGTGAAGCAGGGAAAGGGTTGTTCATTGAAGCAGAGAACATGGGGCTTGGTGAAGATGATGACCCAAGCCTCACATTGGTGCTCCGAACATTTGGGTTACTATTACTGAAAGCAAAATCAGAACCAGATGTTGCATGTAGAGAAGGATCAACATTAATGTTGCTCACCAAATTCCCAGTATTGGGTTCAAAGCCATCATAGCCTCCTTGATCCACCACATCATGAAACCCTGCACTGAATTCCAAATCTTGCTGATCAGAACCGCTTCCACTCTGCAACAGCTTGTTCAATCCAAGAGAAGGGTCTTCAATATCACTCATAATCAACCTCAAAATGGACTGCTCTTGACCCGGAGACTCAGACAAGACACTCTCCCAGTCCTCCATTCCAAGCGCCGGCCCACATTTTGATTCTTCTAATGGTGTTTGAGATATGTTTTCGTACACCGCCGCTGCAGTAGTGCCCAAGCAGGTGGTTGTGTCTGTAGAGCCGCTGCCGCCACCTCCACCGCCGGGTCCCCCCCCCCTGCCGCCGCCGACAGTGTTGAAGAGGATGTGGGAGGGCTTGGGCTTCTTCTGGTGTCGAGAACAGAGGTGGGCTCAGTGCTGCCCACATAGCAATTCTCTTTGTTGCTGTTTTGGTTCCACTTTTGCTGCTGCTGCTGCTGATTGTGGTGGTGGTGGAGATGTTGATTTTGCGGTGGCTGTGAATCTGAAGTTGAAGAAGAGAAATCTAACACCCCCTTCCCTTGAAACTGCTCAAAGGGTAGGGGCATGGCCTTCATCTAACAAAATAAACACTGACAAAAATACACACAAACCCAAGAACCCAGCAACCTCCAGTTTTTTAAAGACCAACAAAAACCCACCTCCCAAAAGACTCCCAGAGAACAAAATACAAATGGGTTCTCAAATTTACAAAAACCCAAGAGCTCAATGCTTAAATTTACAGAAGCAAAAGCTCTGGTTTTTTAGGCCTAAATCAAATTCTGACTCAAACAAAGGCTGCCCAAGTGCATGCACAGCTGAAATGAAATCTCAGAACACAGAGACACCTAGCTCTTAGGCTCTTAGCTGCTGCTGCTGCTGCTGCTCTGGTAGCCTGATGCCTGTCTTTGTTGCAAACAAAACAAGCTCTTGTGTTTGATGTAAAACCTCAAGGCTCAAGACCCATTTTTGGAACCATCTTCTTCTTCATTTCTTGTGTGTGGTTTGGGCCCTTTGGTGGGTTTTCTTCTTTCTCTTCCACCGGTGCCTTGAGGGGAGTAGTACTTCGTCTTCCTTCTGTTTTCTGCTATGTGGATGCGTGCAACATATAAAAGTGGTAAAGTGCTTCTCTCTCTCTCTCTCTCTCGTTTTCATACTTTTTTATTATTTTGTATTTTGCAATTTTTCATTTTCATTTTTTATTACAATTTTTTTATGTGGCTTTTGTCTGTAGATGTAGTTATCTCCCTGCTAGGGTTACTGTCACGCACTTCAAACCCACTCTCATGCATCACACGTAAATGCCAATCGCAAACTTCCTAGACAATTAAATTATATGTTTTTGTTCTGCCACAATTAAAATATATGTTCAACCACACCAAAAATGAAAAAAAGATTTATGTTTACATAAATGTATTTCTATATAAAAAATGTATTTTCCAACTGAATTAAGCAATTTAATTTCCACAATGCCACAAAAGAAAAATCCCAAAGAAATAAAATTTATTTAATAAATATTTAGAAGAGAAAAATCCCATTTCCCATGCACTCTTCTAAAAGGGCGCGTGAGAATGTTGTCCTTCTGATGGCTTATTTCTTTTGTTAGTTTACAGAGAGCGACGAGAGACAGATAAAAGATGAACTGGCTGAAGTGGCTTTTGCATCTTGGTGGCATTTCCTAAATTACCTTTTTCCATTTGGCTACAATCTAGCTCCACTGTTCCTGCAAGGCTCTGCGAGTATAGGGCTATTTAAGTAATTTAGGGAGAACAGCTTCTGCTGTCCTGGTTTTCGAAACTGAATCTGACGGCACGTTAATGCGTGGCCTTATTTGGGTTTGAAGATATCGAGATGGATTGGACGGACCAGATATTTGGTTTGAGTTAAAAATATGTGGTTGCGATTCAGAGCTTCAATTTTTTTGTCCAAGTTTGTATCACTGAGTAACAAATTTAAATACTCTCTATTCAAACCCCAAAATACTCATCGCACTCTCCCTCCAAATTTTGCTTTTCAAAACTTTCGGCTTATATTTTTTTTCATAATCCTAGTCAAATGTTTTCGCGATTTAATATCAACATGAATTGAATTATGTCTAGTTTTATTACGCCTAAAAGTGATAGGATTATAAATCCCATCCCACCAAAAAGATGGGATTAAGCTGGATGAGTTTATGTCTAATCATGCTAGACCATGTAATAGTCTATTTTAAAAAATTATGCTCCTTAATCATGCGTATTAGCACCAAATGCTCTATTCAATTACCTACCGCTACCCTATTCAATATAATATAATTTACTGTGCTACCAAATTATCTAATTCAATCGCAATCACTAAACATGTCTAAATGGCTGAAAACATTCGCTCAAAACAACAGTTAAAGAAGGAGAATGGTCAATCCATCTACAACAAATGGGTAGACTTAGCTGATATCATCTTTGAATAGAGAGCGTAGAAAATTGAATTTCTGTTGACTAATAACTAAATTATGTTGATTTAATTTCAGTTCCGTACATGAGTTTGTTAGGAGCAAATTTTACGAGGTTTTGTGAGACAAATTTAGACTAATGAATTCTAATTGATACTTGACAATAGTAAAGGTAAAGAGCATTAGAATTTAGAACATGCTAATGTCAACTGTTTATGTAGCGTTTTGTGCTATTGGAAACAGACAGTAAGTACCAAAAGTTGATTCAATAGACTTCTAAAATTCAATAAGCAATAATGGTATGTGTAATCATGTTGGCAATGACCTTCCTAATTCTTTTGTTTCTTCACAAAGCCATTTTGGCTAAGATGAAGAATATAACGAGCACAGAAGTTTGTTAGACATGGTGGCCAGTAGGGCTCGTCAATGGGCCGGGCCGGGCTTTAAAGAGGAGAGAGAAAATATCAGGCCAGGGCGGGCCGGGTTTTTTTAAAAAATTCAAAGCCCAAGCCTGACCCATGAGCGGGGCTTGAAAAAGCCCATTGGGCCGGCCCGGGACTAAACGGGCCTACTTCATTAAAAAAAAAATCACAAACTTAAGCATAAGGGCATTTTAGTCCAAATTTGAGATTAAACTCACTTAATTCCAATATTTTCACATCAAACCAAATTCATAAAACACCCAATAAAGTCACACAACTTAATAAGATTTTCCACAAAAATTATAAAACCAAGTATTATTTTTGAGGTTATTACATAATTAGATCGTAATACGTTTTAAGAAATAATTTTAAAAAATAATAAATATCAAACAAATATTTTTTTTAAAGGATGGTATGAATAAATATGCAAATATTTGGTGATGTGTTCAAGAAAAACATGATTATATTTGGTGGTACAATTATGTTTCGTGATATGATTATATTTGGTGATGTGATATGTTGTTCGTCTTATTTATATATATATAATTGTTGAATTAATAATTGACACAAATTAATGTGCTAATCATCCAATTATAAACTAGGAATGAGTAAAGAAAAGTAAATGAAATGAAACAAATTATATATGTGATTTAAGTGATAAAATCCTAAACCTAAACTCTTATTTATACATAATTATATATGTATGCGGGCCTAACGGGCCGGGCTTTTGTGGGCGGGCGGGGGCAGGCTTTCTTGGGCTTAATCGGGCCGGGCTTTAGACACCCAAGCCCAAGCTTAGCCCGGCCCAAGACGGGCTGGGCCATCTCAAAACCCATAACGGGCCAGGCCGGGCTTTTTTTCGATGGGCCGGGCAAGCCCCTATCGGCCCATGAGCCAGCGGGCCAAATGATGAGGCCTAGTGGCCAGCCAAAATAAAAAAATTTGACATCAAAATAGATAAGGAATTTACCTCAAATTCTTCAATTGCGTATGTCAATAATCAACTTAGTTTCCAATACCCTCAAATAACTCAAACAACACCTCAAATCACAAAATCATAGCCTAACTAGCCAAATAATCTAAATGTGGACAAAATATGAAAACCTACTCAAAGTTCATAATAATTTACCTCAACTTGTAGAGTTCATTCTCTTGATTGTAAGGCGAAATCGATTCGTATTCATGATTTTGGACTTGCAAAAGGTTATGGACAAAATAAAGGTTTGGTTAGAAAAATAAGAGAGAACTCGAGTTCGGATAACCAAGCAAGGTTTCTTTTCTTTTTCATCTTCTTCTTTATAGTCCAATCAGATATTACGTCATTTCATCCAAGCGGATGCTAAAGTAGCGTCACACGCTTTACTAAGCTACCGTCCATGCGACCACACGATTAGAATACCATTCTCCTCATCCAATGCTCCACATTTTTTCATGTCAAGACTTATTAGTTTAACAATTTTCAACTTTAAAAATTCACCAAAATACTTCCAAACACAGAAAAATTCCTTGAAATCTTTTACGGGCTGGTAGTCACCTCTACTTTTATTATGTGACTTCAAAAATCAATGTTTGGCCAGAATAATTTTTTTTTTTGGAAAATTTCTCACTATTTCTAGCTCAAATCATATAATTTGAAATAAATTCTTAAAATTCCACATCGCTAAAAGTTCATAAAAACAGTGTTTGTTATGCAAGGCATTGCAAGCTATGTTTGAGTTGAAATGAATTCCATATTGAAAAGCTAGAGGTTTTTTTTTTTGGTTAGTCAAAGTTCATTAAAACCCCAAAAATGGGAAGGAAACAAACAGAGAATACAAGGGCAAAAATGCCAAATGTAGAAACAAAGTACCACAAGTACAGAGAAGATTAAACTAAGAACCAGTACAGTCTAGTATAACAAATCTTTCTCATATACAATCAAAATAAAATACAAAACCGAGCCATCATGGCCACAAAGGGACCGGAGACCGCACCAATATGGTCACAAAGGAGGGGATTCACATTCTCCGCACAAGTCATCATAACTGCACATAAAAACTAGAGCTCTTTATAAGGCATATTTTTGGAAGTAGATTAGTTTGAATTGGACTATGCAAGTGGCCCAAATGAATGACAAGTGGATTTGAACAAATGGGTCAATGCCTAGCAAAAGAAGTGAAAACTAAAGGGGTTTACCAAACAGACGTTCTGGGCTTTTCTCTACTGCGGATGTGGCATGAGAACTAGACTCGCATACCGGCTTCTTTTCTAGCCGTTTCAGAAAAGCCCATTATCGTCAAAAGCAAAATCTCTTTGTCAATTTGGTAATTTTCCCTCCTTAAACTCTGTTCAAAGGGGCCTGGCTCTCATGTATTTAGCTGGGCCTGAATGGGAAAGAAGGCGGCAAGAAATTGCTTTGCTTTGTCATAACAGAAAGAAAAAGAAAGCTTGCCCGAACAGCAAAGCAGCCTTCATCATTACCTTGAATAATTTAGACATTATTTCGGTGATCTTTAAATCGTTTCAAAATGACAGCAAAATACCATTTTCTGTGATTCTTTCTATCAAAGAATCATATGAATGGTTGATTCCAACGTAATACACTTCGCTGTGGCCCAAATGAAAAGGGTGGAGAGAGTGAGAGAACAAATATTTTTCTCTTCTGTAAAAGAACCTAACCAGGTAACCCTGCCCTGGTTTTCTATGAGCAGGCTTCGGAAACCCCGAATATACTTGGTTCATTTCGTTGGTGCTACTTGTTCTCTTTCTAAATCGTACATTCAGTCCATGCATGAAAACAACGGTAATATTGGTTCAAAATGCATCATACTGGTAAACTTGTGGTACATCAATCGTTGCTTCAAATGCATAAAAAAGAAATGCAGCCTTTATCTGACATCATACTGGTTCAAATGCATTCAGTCCTTGATTAATTATTTCTTTTGTGCTTTGAAGGTCGTTGCGGAGAAGGCAGAGAACATTGACAGGAAAAAGTAAACCAGTTTCATGTTAGGTCCTGTTGTAATGAGTTTTGTGAATTGGTTAAAGTTATCTTTAGAATCATATTGGTCTCATAAAAAAATCATTTTAAATATCTTTTTTTATCCAAATCCATGCGGGGTGCTATTATTGGACGTGTGTGCTCTATATATGTGTCACTTAAGCAATTTAACAGAATTTTTAAGGTATTCCCATTTTCTGTAAACTGTGCGAAACCCAAAATCTCTGTCCGAGGAGGGAGCTTTTCAACTTAATTGGGCTCATTTTCTTGTGAAGAAAC